AAAACAGCATGCCAAGTGACGAAGCTCAAGTCTGAATGGATTTGGTGACTGTTTCAGGTGCTGCTTGGAGAGCACAAGTCCACGAAAGAGCTGTTCGCAATAAAAATCCTGAAAAAGGATGTCATTGTTCAAGACGATGATGTCGAATGTACAATGACGGAGAAACGGGTACTTTCGCTTCGCGACAAGCCACCATTTCTAGTTGCCCTTCATTCCTGCTTCCAGACAATGGTACTGTTGTATACTTAATTCTACTCACCAGAAGCAAATTTTTGTTGACGAAATAAATTAATGAGTACCTGAAGTTAATGCTGAATTCCATAAGGTTGGAATTTTTTTGAGGGGGTGTAGGTGAGGGGAAGAGATGGAGGAGAGGGGAGGAGGAGGAAAAATACGAATGGAAGGTGTATCTAAACATTAAGGAGTTCCAGTTTTCAATATGAAAATTCTAGAAGTCAGCCTCATCTGTGCATTACTACCAAAATTTTAGAGTTGAACAAACATTCGCGATTGATTAAAACCAGAGGTGGCAAGGCTTGAAGCATTAGAATTACAGAAAAAACCGATGAAATTCTGAGCGCTGCATAGTGAAAATTTTATACTGTGAGTAATGCCTGCTGACTTCCCATAATGTTACTTGGCTTTATAATCAGTGCAGTGCTTTAGTTATAGCGGGCTTTTTGCCTGTGGATAATTATGTTTCTTGGTGCAACCCGGTCCTCTCCGTACCGATGCCTCTGCCAAGAAAAATGAGTTCGAAAGAAAGGACAACAGAAGTCCGTGATACAAACAACAGGAAAAATGTGCTTATGGAATTAAAATGCGAAATCAGAGATTATCAACTACTTGATTTCTATAAGTGATCATCGCTTTCAACCTATGGGGTGCTGGGGCTGGTACTTTTTTTAGTTGAAGAAAATTTCAAAAATTAGGAAACATCAGTGGTGATACGGAAGCCCAGCACATTTGTATTAGACAGTCATTTGCGGAACGTATTTTGAAAGAAGTATGTAATGGCATTTTCTTGATTCTTGTCAGGCTAACTATTAACTTAAATGCTATGGGATTCGGTGACCGAAAAGCCAAGCTTTGCTGGTTTGAGCTTATTTTGCATTCTTAGGCGGTTTAAAAATTTTATAATTTTGAGGATAATTCGTGAATTTTTATTACTGCTTGAAATTTTTGCAAGTACTATTTTTAACCAAAAGAAAGAAGCGAGTTATTTTAGGATCGGTTATATTTTGTAATGGAATTTGTTAGTGGCGGTGATCTCATGCACCAAATACAGCAAGTTGGGAAATTCAAAGAACCCGTTGCTGTGTAAGTTAATCATGTTTGAATAGCAGAAATATATACTTCTGGGTGTGAACGTAATTTACGATAGACACCTGAAGAGCCGGAGAAAACGTGTTTCCCCATCAATTCTTATAGTCATGCAGTCGCTGGGGGGGGG